TCCAAGATTCTGTTACACATATAATATCAGGCGTCATTTCCAGAGCAATGGCTCTGATTTGGGCCATCTTGTTTATAACAGACCTGGCATTCAATAATATAATATCTAATGTGTTTCGAACGGCAATGCTATTTTCGATGGTATTTAAAAAAAATTTGGAGGCGGATATGTAAGCTGCGAATAATTGACACTTGGAGAATAAGTACCAGTTAATTTAGAGTTATTGACGTATGGGGAGTCAGCAAGAAATGGCTGAGTATGAGACCTAAAGGAGGTGGGGATATAGTTTTCAAACATTGGAATGCTAGGGGAGTTAGAACATGGATAGACTTGTTGCTAGTTAAATAATGGAGGAAGGGAAGGAGGAGGAGGAGGGAGGCTAGAAGGAAAGTAGGGGCTAATGGGTGAGGGTAGGCCACTAAATGACTGAAATGGTGGGAAACCAGGTCTAGATTGGAAGTCAAAGGAGATAGGTTGACGTACCTGAAAGCAATTGGCCTTAAGTGGTGGGAAGCCTGAACTAGGTTGGGGCATAAATGGTTTAGGGCAATTCATGTATGAATTAGTTGCTGGATATATAGTAGGGCTTTGATAAGTAACCGGTATGCAGGACAGAGAATTATTCGAGGATATAATTGGAGCTGCGGGATTTGTAGACGTGCTGGGCTGAACAGACTTGATCCCGATGCCGTCTGGACGTTCGCAGATACTGTATTTCACAGCGAGTCGTCGGTGCCTGGAACGGGCTTCCCGAGGACGTAATAATGGCGGATACCACGGAGACGTTCAAGCAAAGACTAGATGTATATTTGCTTGGACGACACCGCTTGTCTGGACAGAACAGCTCTGTGGTGCTAAACCAACGCCTTGCATACACCTACCGCTAATGCGGATGACTGTCATTTCATTTTACCCATATCATTTACAACTGAATGTTCTCGAGTTTCGGTCCTGCATTTTCGAATAAAAATGTGCTGTGAAGTGTATATATTACTGACATCATTTTAGTACCGTGTTTATTTAAAGTGAGATATTGTATGCACAGTTTTCAATAGGGTTTTCAGAGGCATTGCCTATTACCCTTAAAATATACTGACCAATATGCTGACCCAATGTAGACGTTTATTAACATAGGTCACTGGTTTTATGGCTGCAAATTCATATAGTCCGCTTGTTGCTGCAGCAAATGTCTGTCAAGCCGATATTTAAATGTCTCCACAGGTAAAGATATTACAATCTCCTAGAGTAGGTTTTCCCGCGGTACCACAACGCGATTGGAGAAAAAATACTTTCTTACATTCAGTCTTTCTCGGGACAAATGTAGTTTGAGGGGAATTAAAATCGAGACTGAAGGGTGGCGAACATAACCTGCCTATCTTCAAGGGGAAAGTAGTTCGGAAAGATACGGCGTTTTAATGAAACCAGCCAGCAATACTAAAAACGACAGCAGCTACTCAGCTACCATAGATACCTTCGTGGAACCAGCCGCTCGAGGCAACAACATACGTAAACCCTTAACGCCCAGTGTTATGACCGAAGCAGCGGACATTAATGAAACCAACAAGGCAGTGGAGGAGTTCAGTGAAAATGACGTCCGAGATAACGCAGTAATGTCCACAGCCGAGACAAATGCAGCCGGAAATTCGGTTGGTGCAAAATTAAGGTGTATGTGTAAAAATACCTTATGTCTCATATCGAAGCCTGACGAGCTAAAAGTTTGCCTTGTCGAACTGCCTCCGGATGTTTTAGCAGTAACCGGAACCTGGTTGTCCGCGAATATTAGAAATGGCGAAATAGCTTTCACTGGATACCCAATTTGCCAGAGAAAGGGAACGTCGTCAAGGTGTAGGTATATTTGTGTGTGCCAAGAAAGACCTGTCAGTGTCGGAGAACACCGCCAAGTTTTCGTGCGGCACGGAAGCCATTCGGTCAACCACCAAGGCTACCGGTTCCCCGTTTCTCGATGTCCTCTCTGTCTACCGACCAACCAGGGCAGACCAAATCGCTGACACACATTTCATGGGGAAGTTCGATAAATTTTCCAGTCGACTTCATCGCATCTGGAATAAACTGGAACACCGCCCAAGGCTCAGGTCAAAAATCGACATTCGATCACTGTTTGCCGAACAAAACATTAAGGGCGCACCTCACACAGCATATACTGTTTCCAACGGAAACACGCGAGCGAAAAAGGGCCAACTGCCTGGATTTAGTTTTTACGGAAGCATCGGACAGCATAGACGAGGTCATCTCCATGGTGCCCCTTGGCCGAAGTGTCCATGTAGTGCTTATGTGGGATTATTCGTTATTCTCCATGTTGCATACTCCAGACCAAAAAAACCCAACATTTGGCAGGGCGACTTCAATGAGAGGGGGCAGACTTATCCGGTATCAACTGGAGCTCAACGTTTAGGGGTAATGCCGGCGATGATTGGGAGTTGTTCAAAAATATCCTTATGCAGCTCAGCAACAACCATTGCCTACTGACGGGTGTAAGACAGAACAAGTGGCCTGAGTGGCTAAGTGGCAACCTAAAAAAAAGAAATAAACAGGAAGCACGAATTATGGAAAGATTGCTGCGTTAGTGGGCAAATTGAGTATTTTGAAACCTATGAGACACAGAGGAACAAAATGAGAAGCATGCTTATAAAGACGCGCCGAGAGTTCGAGAAAAAATTGCTGCGAAAAGCAACGCAAAACCCAAAAGTATTCTACAGCTACCTCAGAAGAGGTACAAGGAACAGACACCGAATCCCCTTAATAAGGACTAGCGGTGGCGTTTAGATCGCTGATAGCAATTTTTTCCAATCAGTCTACACAAAGGAGGTAAGGTCCTTTCCTTAATCCACAGAACTGCCGACCCCAAGCACCGGTGATATACTCTCCTCAGAAGGGGTTGTTCGAAGAGAATTAGAGGCACTGAACAAAGAAGGCAGCAGGGCATTGACGACAAATTACAGGCCCATAAGCTTGACGTGTATTTTCTTCAAAGTTATGGGGGGCATCATGAAGAGTGAGTTGATGCCATTCCTGAAAGTTCACGAATTCCTATCGGTCTGCCAACATGGGTTCTGGAAAGGAAGATCCTGCGTGAAAAACTTGCTGCGATCTTTCCAGAGCTGGACTCGAGCACCTGACGACGGTCACACGGCCCATGTAGTTTTCAATGACTTCCGGAAGGCGTTGAACACTGCGCCACACCAGAGACTGTTACAAAAACTGGAAAAATATGGATAAGAGGCAGCTGTCTTAAATGGATCGAAACCTCCTTGTGGGTCGAGAGCAGGTTGTGGGCATCGGTCAGGGAGAATCAGATCCTACTGTGGTCGAGAGTGGTCTTCTCCAGCGTTCAGTACTGGGACCCATTTTGTTCCTAATATACGTGGACGACTGCGCGAGAGCTTTGGACTGCGAAGTAGCAATGTTTTCAGACAACATGAAGAAAGGGGGCCCTGTTGACGAAGATAGACTGCAGGTGAATCTAAATCGGTTGGAGGACTGGTCAAACCGTTGGCTCGTGCCGTTCAACGTTGGTAAGTTTTCTATAATTCCCTAGGCAATCCGGCCAGATCAGCCAGCACAAGGGACTACTTTCTGGATGGTGCAGTCTTACGAGACGCCAAAGCCCGAAAGGACCTCTGTATGCATATAACGAACTCCCTAAAAGCAGTTGATAGTTCAGGAAGATCTTTACCTGTTCCTATCCCCAATTCTCTACTTAATTAGAACATCACAGTTACGAAGCCCACTTGCACACCAGCCTGTAAAATGCAAGTGTACAATGTCACTGATGATTTTTCCAATCCCCACTGCTAGCCTGACACTCCAAAGAACGAAGCCTTCTCCTAATGAAGGCTGTTTATCGTAATCATTGAGTCCGTTATCCAACATAAATCGCCTTTCATATTATGCTCAACATTCCCAAAATCATATTTTTATGCCCCTATTTTCCCAACCCAACAAAACAGCTTACCTCTTCCAGGGTCCTCCTCAAATATTTTCCCAAACAATGCCGTATCTCTAAGTAGTGGTAATTACCGCGCACATGTTTAGACAATAGCAATTTTGTCATCTACCAATTGCTTCATCCCAACAGCTTGATTTTCCACCACCAGCTCTCCTTTTTTATAACTATCAATGAGCGAAATCTGTACACCAGAAATACGCTCAGTATTGTCTCTTTCAACGCAAGATCAGTCGGGCGAAAGATGTCACAGCCAAGAAGTGTAGCCTTGGATTTTGATCCAGATGTTTTGTGCATTACAGAATCTTGGGCTCACTCTCTAATTTCAGACTCGGCGCTCAATATGGATAACCTTAGTTTATACCGCCAGGATCGTGTCGAAAGACGCGGCGGTGGTTGCCTTCTTTACATCAGAGCCTCACCTGCAAAGTCGCCTTATGACCTGAACATTTCCTCCTTCTCCGGGAATTTGTTTCTCTTCGGTGATCCTTCCGAAAAATAGAAAAGCCCTTGTCTGATATCTATATATTCCTCTTTGTTACTCCGGAAATGAAAGCTAGTTTTGTGGACTATTTGAAAAAATTGTAGAAACTTCTTTCAAATTCCAGATAATCGTAGGAGATTTTAATTTGATAGAAACTGACTGGTACACATATACTTCCTCTCCTAAATTCCAGAAGCTTCTAGGAACCATTTACTTTCCAAGCCTGCCTCAATTAGTCCACTCTTCGACTAGAAATGATAGTGTAGTAGATTAAATTTTCATAATGACATCTTCCCTCTATCTATGGATTTCCATCGTGACCTTTTTGCAGGTGATCATGCATTAATTCATTGTCGCCTCCCAGTTGCCATTTCCGCAAAGCCAACTGTTAAAAGTAGCTTTTTTGACTGTGCTAATTTTAAAAAGGAATTAGTAAATAATTTTGCAAGCACTCATGATTGGCACGATATTTTTTCGAACAATGATGTAAATTTTTTAAAAATTTATTGCAGTACTTAACAGAAGGACTTCTCGATATAATTCCAAGGAAGATGTCTAAATCGAGTGCCACTTCCTCCCACATTTTCTTAAAAACAGATTTAAAAAGCAGCGGAAGCAGCTTAAAGATCCTTCCGTGGGCTAACTATCAGTTCACCCAAGAATCGTTGAAATATTTGAATTGGCTTTGAAAATGAAGCTCGCGCGAGATAGGCATAAGGAGTATTTAACTATTAATGGCGTGAAGGCTTCTAAGTCAGCTGCTCAGGTCTTCCGCCAAAGATCATCTGCTAAATCCCATCAAGTCATCCGCCTTTGCATAGTACCAACAAAACCATCAATGCACAGGAGTCAGGCAAATAACGAAGGTTAAATTCATTCTTTGCCAAATATTTCACCATTGGGACTGACCAAGTCCCTTCAATTGCTCCCTTGTCTGATGCCTCCCTCACTACCATTAATTTTGCTTCTGCAACAATGAAAAACTGGTAACCCTGCTTACAAACTCGCACTCAGTTGGAAATGACAACATCCCAAACTGTCTTTTAAAACAGCTAGGAGATTTTCCGCCTCTGCTCAACAGACTGTTTACAGTCTGGGACTTTGCAGTCCCCTTGGAGACTCTGCCAAGTCATACCTGTCAAATCGTAAACAAAAGGTTTAGTGGGATCTTCATTTTTCAATTAGAGCCCTATTGTAAGTGGTGTCCTACAATATACCGTTTTAGGTCCTTTTTGTTCCTGAATCTTTAAATGTCGCTATATGTGCTTTGGACCAGATAGGCTAACCCAGCCATGGTCTTTCAAGGCGCACCTATGAATGAATGTACCACCATCAGGGATTTAGGTTTAAGCTCCACCAATAATCTGATCTCTTGCCACACACTGCCAGAATTACGGCCAAAGCGGCCCAGATTTGGGGCTCTATTTCTTGCAATTTCTATCTTCCCGAAATTAAATTAAGACTTCATCGAATGCTTGTACTTCCCATTCTCGAGCATTATTGTCCATTATTTGGTTTGATGAACGAGGCTAATCGTTCGAAAATTGAATATGTTCAAAGACATTTTACTAAAAGACTCTTAGGCACGAAACACCCAAATATCTCCTATTCGGATAGACGCCGGATAACTTACCTAACATGTTTATGGGTTGGATGACTAGAATCAGGCTTCTGTCTCCTCTTTCGCGTTAATAATAGTTGAAATCTTCCTCGAGTTTCAGCACTTACCCCTAGAAGTTGTCCATACAATCTTCGCAATTCTTCCTTAATTATACCTCCTCCCGCTTTGTCAACCTCTAAGCGTCCTCTTTTTTCGTTTCCAGGTATACTTTTTTCTGGAATAGCCTTCCAATAAAAAAAAGATCATCAGATAATCTTCATACATTTAAGAGAAGTCTGCACCTTTATCCGAATACTGACTTGATTAAACTTTTATTTTCCTCATCCCTCCCGGACAACTTTATCTATGTCACTGAGAGGGGGCCATTGGTAATTTAGGACGCCGCCACTATATTACCGTATCCGCTCACATTTCCTTCTCTTGTGTGTAGTATTGCCTCCTGGGGTCCCTCATCATAAGTGTTAATTTTCTCGATTCTTCAGTTCATGAACGTGTCTCTCACAGAACGCGATATCCTTCCTAACAAATTTTCTCAAAGAAGTAGCGTATCTAGGTTGGCATGCACACTCTAGGCCGCCTCGGTTTCGCCGATCACCGACTGTCATCAGAATTCCGCTCTGACCCCCGCGATTTCCAAGCCCCAACCCCGAACCGTTAATTGTCGCTTGTCTTGATGTTAACTCCTCATTTCGACTTCAAATGGTCTGCTGACGATCACGATGTGAATCCTCTGTTTTCGACATTTGCTAGTAGTTTGGTCAGTCAGTAAAGAGATGTTAGGGTCACATTCTCCCCTCTACGCTCTGATGACCGACCTAGCCTTTAATGTCCCATCCTCCGCTTGACTCTAAACGGACTGTGTCCGACCGCGTCTAGGTTCCTTTGTCTTGCCACTTGGAAGGGGATAACTTCATCCGGTTCAGGAAGATCTTGTTGGACTATTCGCGTTTTGAATCCCTTGTAAAATGCAGTATGCAGGCAAGTCTCGTTCGACCTGCATATTTCCTTTTTCACGGGCGGCAGTTTTTTTCTTCTTAAAAGTCGACCAATTCCTACGCATCTAGTTTCTTCGTAAGAAGTTTTTTCACTGGCAGCTGACCGTTGTTATATATGACTGTCTATTATGCAACTGCGAACTGAATAATGTGTAGAATCGGTCTACTTGTTTTTAAAGTTTTTTGAAAATTAATTTTTACTTGCCAGGGTGTGTCCCCCAGGGGTCATTTTAATAAGATTATTTATTTATTGTTTGGGTGAGTCCATATCTATGACCCAGACAGTCATGTAGACTGAAATTAACGCCCGAGTACTTAATACTTTGATAAATGCTTTCAGAAGTTTAAGTCAGTTTAAGTCAGTTTATTAAGGGAATGAGGCTTTCGCCCTTGAGCTCCCTATTAATATCGATAAACAGATATAAAGTCATCAATTACATCAGCAAATGCCAAAGGTTAAGAAGTTAGCGGTAAGTGTGAGCTAGGCGCAAACTGCCTCCGCTAAAACAATCATTATTGCATGTACAGTAGGTTCTCAACAAGTGAGCGTCTAGTCTGCACTTGAAGGATTTGACACTTTCGGAAAGAACGACGGCGTCAGGGAGTCCATTCCATGCCCCGATGACCCTTTGAGAGATGGCGTTCCGTCGAACGTCCGAATGAGCCCGCTTCCTTTGCAGTTTGAACGGATGACCACGCAGACGGTCAGTCCGGGCCAATTCAAAGAATTCATCAAAGTCTAGGGCACACTCACGGCTTCTGACAATCCTGTAGGTTTGAATGAGATCGCCACGCAGTTGCCTGTAATTTAGAGGAAAGAGATGTAGTTCGGTCAGCCTGGTTTCGTAAGGCAAATGATGAAGATTTTTGACCATCTTCGTA